GACTGCTTAAAATGAGTTGCCTGACCTTGGACACATCATCATCCTTTTTCCAAGTTCTGGGTTCTAGGTTTCTCTGTCATATAGATGAACACTGAAGTGTAAAATCTGTGCTGGACACTGAAGAAATTTAAGTCCCCTCCATCAAAACAAGAAGCCACTCATAGAAGTATAAATGGAATACTGTAGAAACCTAATGACCATTCCTGATCATATCACTATTTTCTCTGGTGAGACTGATGGCCATTACTGAAATAGAGTAGGTAGAAAAGAATAGCTATTTAGCACTTGTTCCTGCCTCTTGTTGAGAATGGAAGGTCTTTCCAACAGGCTTCCCTTTGCTCTTACTTTATGCCAGATTAATGCCCCACGAGGGTCACAGTACACAATACCAAAGGCAACTTTGTGGTGAGGTTGATAAGAAGTATTAATAAAGAAAAGTAGCAAGTCCTGTAATCTCTTAATTAGGTCTTCTTGTCTATAAATGTGAATTATAGATCCTTAGGAGTTCAAATCAACCCCAGATGACATGGTTGTAAAGGAATGGAGTGATGGTTTACATAGAGTCACAAGACCAAAAGAGAACCAGAAAATATCCCTCAGAAGTACAAATCATCACCACCAGAAAGTACTGCTGTACTTCTGACACACTTTTCAAATGGTTAAAATGTGTATTGTTCTTGTTGTTCAATCACTAAGTTGTGTCTGACTCTGCGACCCCATGGACTGCAGCATGCCAAGTTCCTCCATCCTTCATTATCTCCTGGAGTTTGCTCAAATTCATGTCTGTTGAGTCGGTGATGCTATCTAACCATCTCATCCTCTGCCACCTGCAGTGAAAGAAATCTTTAAAAGCTTAATGAAGTGGAAACAAACCAGCAGATCACCATATAAAATTAAACAAGATGTTTATAAAAGAACTCCAAGCACTTGAAAATGAGAAGTGGGAAAACTGGGTAGAATTATATATTTGTACAGCTATCAAATTTTAATACAAAAATTCCAAACTGCCTTTGATGACCAAAGTCCACATACATTTGGTACTCTTTGGAAACCAGGGGTAAGTTCTGCTACCACATGGTTTGTTCTGATTTGAGAGAGTGTCAAGGATGTGAGATGTTAATTCTTTATCATCCAGATTCATATAAGAGGACATCAGGGAAACTCAGGTGGCAGCTTTGTCTTAATGTGTTCCATGAGGAAAAGAAAATGTATTTTTAAAACTGGAAGTAACTAAAGGCTTCAACAAAAGCAAGGTAAATTATCATCTTTATATTCTGATTTCTAATAAAGGAGGTAGAGAGGTATGTGGAAACTATTCATTTAAAAGACAATAAACAGGAAGCACCTACAACTGGAATCAACTGCTTAGATGAAAACTTGGTTTAATAAGTGAGCTAATATGGTTCTCTTTCTTAAATGTTTGTAGCATTTACTCCCAGTACTATTCACCTACCAGGAATGTTACCTAATCAGTCTATAAGTTCCCCAGTATCTTGAGGAATTCCTTGTCTTGGGGTCTGACCCGCCTGACAGGTGCTTACCTGATAACGAAGATACAAGCAGAGCTCTTTTGATAACCTAGAAGGAATCACCTACCAGCAATGTCCTCTTTCCTTTAAACCAATGATCCACAATCTCTGGGCATTTCAAACACTTAAAAGATAACTACTAAGTGCGTGCAAGCTAAGTTGTTTCAGTCATGTACGACTCTTTGTGACTTACAGACCATAGCCTGTTAGGTTCCTCTGTCCATGGGATTCTCCATGCAAGAATACTGGAGTGGGTTGCCATTTCCTCCTCCAGGGGATCTTCCCAACCCAGAGATTGAACCTATATCTCCTGGATTGGCAGGCAGATTCTTTACCACAAGTGTCACCTGTGAAGCCCACCCGGTCAGGGGAATATGACTTCAAGTTATAAAGCAAGAGCAAAGAGGGCAATATGAGGGCCAATTAATAAAACATATAAAAATGGCAAGTTGATTTAAGTTAGTTTCCTTAGTAACCATCAAAGAAACATTAGGCTTAAAAAAAAAAAGAGAGAACAAGAAGTTACAAAAGATGGATCTTAAGATAAAAAAGAAACAGATAATATTCATATTCTTAGGTGAGGGGGAAATGCTTTTTACCCTATTTCTTTTTCAAGAAAAAAGATTAATTCAGCCTAATTCCAAAGGAGGTAAACTTATTTTGTTTTGTTTAAAAATTATACTTGGAATTCTCTGGTGATTCAGTGGGTAGGACTCTGCACTTTCACTGTCAAGAGCCTGGGTTCAATCCCTGGATCAGGATACTAAGATCCTGCAAGTCAGGCGGTGCAGCCAAAAAAAGGGAGTAAATGCATCAGTTCTTTAAAAAAGAAATTTGTTATGATATAAAAGACAAAATTAGAACCACAAGCATGCAGGAAGCTGATGGATATTAATGTACTCAAAAGCCAAATTAATGGAAAAGTCTACAATAAACATAAGTTGCACCCATACCAAAAGGCCATTAGAATGCTGACATATGGGACACATACAATACATATTTGTCAAATTAATGAATAGATGAATATACTTAGGTATATTCATGAATATATTCATGAATACACATAGGTCACGCTATTATTCTTTCTCCTTTTTTATTAAGCCAAACTGCTAACTCTGACATATTTTTCTATAAATACCATCTAAAGAGGAGGAAGACACTGGCATTAGAAACAATTTATAATTTTATAATTCTACAACTTAAGATCCCTATTTAATATACCATGATGGTAGAACATAGAATTCTCCAGTGAAGTCTGAGGAAGTTTTTTCCTTACAATTTAAAATTGTAGACCATATAGAGTATCTTAACAGCATATGGCACAGTTCATGTGATCATCTGAGAATAATTCAGTTTCATAAAAAATGCAAATTTAACAGTAGTGCATTAATTCATGCCAAGTCTGCTCTCAAGACAACCACCAGGGACCTCCCCCATGAAATCAATATGCATACATCTATTTAACTTTTATCACCAGATAAGTAAATATCACACTATAGACCACTCAGGTATTCATTATTCACAGGCCAAGAGCAAATTTAAAAGTGGGTTGGCAGTGTCAAGTTGTTAACGAATCAATCAATAACTGGTCCGCTGTTTTAGTCTGTCAAATGAGGGCAAAGATGCACAACATCTGGAGAGTGGGCTGTCAATCTGCTGCCAAGGAGCAAACTGTTTACAGCAGAGGGTTCTGTGTTTCACTGGCTCTCAAGGAAACCTGAAGTCATATTCTGTCTTCTCTGGCTTTAATAAGCATGATACTATCCCTCAGATACTGAAAGGACTCAGATCCCCAAGAACCACAGTGAGAAATGAGATTCTGTTGGCTTCCGATAGTGTCTGAGATGGAGAAAGAACAAGAAAACAGTTGAGTGCCTTACATGATGAGGAGCAAGTGGTTTAATTCTCAAAGCTCCAGCATTGAAACATGTATACTATCTAGGGTGAAACAGATAACCAGCCCAGGTTGGGTGCATGAGACAAGTGCTCAGGCCTGGTGCACTGGGAAGACCCAGAGGGATCGGGTGGAGAGGGAGGTGGGAGGGGGGACTGGGATGGGGAATACATGTAAATCCATGGCTAATTCATTTCAATGTATAACAAAAACTACTGTAATGATGTAAAGTAATTAGCCTCCAACTAATAAAAATAAATGGAAAAAAAAATAATTCTCAAAGCTCCCATTTTGGTTGCTTTCAAAGCAAGATTTTTGCTTTTTTTTTTTTTTTTTTAGAGATCACATGTATTTATAAGCAGCGAATCATCCCTCAAAGTTACCAAATATGGTTTCACTTTTGCAAAAATCTCATACTTTCTTTAAGTATGAGTCCTGTTAGATGCCACCTTCATGGTGGCAGAGCCCTGCTAAATGCCACCTTCATGGTGTCAAGCCCCCAAGAACATCATCCCCTGTACATTAACTTCAGGATGCTCACCACTCCTATTTCCCATCACAGAGAGCCAATACACTGCTCTGTGTCTGAGGCCACGTGCCCAATGTTTCAGTTAAGAGACAGCAAAAATGAAATGAAGAAAAGGAAGTTTGGTAACTAGAATAAAGCTGAACTTCACAGTTGCTTCCTCGATTTACACCATGTGACAAAAACAAACATCTACAAAGTGTCAGCAATGGCAGCAACAGAGCTCGAAAAGTATTGCCCATTTTTCCTTCTTATCCATTCAAAAAACCAATAGCAAGATTCAACCCAAAGCCAAACAAATGATGCTTTAAATTTTAACTATGAGAATGGAAGACACTAGCAGGTCATGACATCCTTCCCACTAACAGCAAGAGGAGCCCCTTTTCACCTCTTACTCATCTCTGTGACCTGATCTACAGGGAGAAGATGACTATTTATTTTCAGAGGTAAAACTTAACATCAGCACAGATGCACATCCCTGCTGGAAGCAAGTCGTGCTGGGTTTTAAAAGAATCTGCACAGTATTTATTTACCCTCCTGTCTTATTTCCTGGGTGAAAGGTTTAATTAATACTTAATCCTACAAACAGTCCTCACAAGAAATAGCTTTAGGTTTATAGTTTATAAGCATCCTAACAGTGAGCTGCTCTTCCTGGGACAGCAGTTTTCTCACTGTAGGTTCCATCACTTCAATGGAAATCTCAGCTCCCTCCCTTGATGAGCGTGGAGTCCATAGAACGGGCCACAAAGAGTTGGGAAAACATCCTCAGTACCTTTTTCTCTTCTCATCTAAGATGCTCAGTGTACACTTTCACTCCAGAGCACAAATTAAAGCAGGCCCTGGTCACCGCAGCAAACTGCACAGCTGTGTCGCTCCCATTCCATCCCCACCTCCCGCCCCCCGCTGTTTATCAGCTTGACAGCCAAGAGCACGCGACCCAGAATGTTAGAAACAAGCTGCAGCGCCCGTGGTTTGCGCCCCCGCCCCTCCCCACCTGCGCCCGCACAGAAACCGCACCCACTTCCCACCGCCCGCCTCTCCGCGGCCTTACCCGGCCCAGGAGGTTGTCCTGCAGCAGCGTCTCCTGCAGCACCGGGCCCACCTCCTCCAAGCTCAACATGTGGCAGAGGTCGGTGAGCTCCTCCTGTCCCAGGGACCCGGTGCCCGTCGTGTCAAAACTGTCGAACAGCTCCTTGAGTCGGGCCTCATGCTGGTCCTGCTCTGCCTCATCCATCCCATCGCCCGCAGCGCTCACCTGCGCGGGACAGAGAAGGCCGGTCACGGCGGCGCTGGAGTCCTGCCGCCCTCCGCATGCCGCCCCCACGCCTGACCCGCCTTGGGGACGCTGGGGGTGACCTGGGCCCTGCGTTCCGGTCCATCGGGCCTTGTGAGGGTCCGCGGGGGAGGGAGGTAACACTGCACACTTCCCAGCGAAGCCTCTGGGCCTCCAGGCCCCCCGTCCAGGCCGGGGAGCTCCCGCACACACTCACACCAGGGGCACACCCGCGAGGTCGGGGCCTGGCGGGGTAAGGGTCGCCACAAGGAAGGAGTCTCCTGGGCAGAAAGGCGCCTTTCTCTCCTGCCCAGCCTCAGGCAGGCAGCCACTGTGTCAAACTCAAGACTGAGAGTGGTCAGGACTCAGAGAAGGTGAAAAGCCACTCCTGCCATCCAGTCCTTCCAAATGAAGTGATTGTTAGTGACAACAGACTGCAGGACCAGAGCGTCCATGCAATACAGCAAGCTCCAGAAGAACTGCCAGATGTTGCAATCTGCCAAACGGTTTCATTTCTCTCCCTTCAGCCTAGCTGCCCCTCTTTGTAGTCAGACCGGAGGGCTGCAGCAAAGAGGCACTGGGTGAACATGTCTGATATAAAACCACCCCTGTTTACATGAGACCCAATGCCTCATACATGAGTTCCTCAAAAAATGCCAACTCAATTAACTTCACTTCTGCAATTATGTGAGGTGTGACAGGAAGAGTATTCCCTGAAGCTTGCTTTAGCCCCAGGGAGCTTTAGGTAAGGCCTAGTTGCCTAGAGAAAGAGGAAAACACCACTTCAGCCTTTCAGAAAGACAGTGAGATTCAAAAGAGCCACAGACCATATGTGAATCATGCAGAATCTTGGGACCCTCTACCATCTAGGCCATCTCACCTCTGTACTCCTGGTGAAGAGGTCTTCCATCTCTCTGACCCACCCCAATTCCAGCCTTTCCATTTTTCCATCTTTCAGAGGATTCATGAAAACACAGAGTCATCAATAACTCAGAATTATTTTTGTTAAAATATATATCGTAAAATTCTAGGTCCTCTTCCAGTTGAAGAATGAAACTTGATTTTTCGCTTGCATAATCATGCACTTTTATTGTGTTGGGATTTCCAATGAAAGCCTGAAACATTTGCATCTGAAGGTACCTTCACCATGATGCAATAGAAGCCAAACACGGCAGACATATATCCCCTTGAGAGGGTGACCTCAGCCACCTCAAACACGACTTGCAGCATTAGCTTCTTGACTATAAAAAGCAGCACCCAATAAATAAATAAATAAATAAAGTATTTATCTTGCCAATATAATTTTTCTTGGGATAAAAAAGATAACATGGAATCCACTCTATTAACAGAATTTTGAGTGTGTGGTACCGTATTGTTCACTATATATGCACTGTTATACAGCAGCTCTCTAGAACTTTTCCATCCTGCATGACTGAAACTCTACACTCACTCCCCAGTAACCCTCCATTTCTCCTCTGCTAGCCCTTGGCATACCAATATTCTACTTTTAAAAGCATACATTTAAGTAAACCAAGTCCTGGATCAGAAAACTGTAACTTAGAGGTGATGTTATAGTGCAGATTTTTACAATCACAGGGAACACACACATTAAGATGTTGCACACAGCCAGACCTGAAAATAAACAAGCCTTCCAGAATACATCAGTGCTGCTCTAGGCTGAGTTGCCTTCTTTCCTCAGACAACTGTTCAAAATATGACAAGCTAACACAGAGCAAACCACCATCCCAAGGGTCTCAGCAGAACTGAGTGAACTCAGAAGATGGATCAAACAGCTGGGCTGCTCATTAAAGGGATAGAGGTAATGTTCTGCTCCAGGCTCCTGGTCTCCAAGGTCTCCTCTCCTAATTATCAGTTTCTCTATTATGGTGCTACTAGCCCTGGCTGCCTTCCCAGGGTTGGTCTGTTGGCTTAACTAATCAGCACGTAAATGTTTACAAAATAACTTGACATAAACATCAAAACACCAGAAAGGAACAACCAAGGTGTTAGGCAAAGCTATAACCCACTCCAGTATTCTTGCCTGGAAAATCCCATGGACAGAGAAGCCTTGCGGACTATAGTCCATGGGGCTGCAAAAGAGTTGGACACAACTGAGCACAAAAGTTAGGAATTTAGACAATGCCAAGGCTTTGCTAATGAAATTCACTTATTGTCTGCCCACCTCATTATCAACTAAGATCTGTTGAGAATCCCCAAGACCCTCAGGTATTTTCAAGGTTTTAAGCTCTCAGACTTAGTGTCTGAGTTTTACAGTCCCCCAGGCTAGAATTTTTAAAAATTTAATTATTTTTAATTTTTTTGGCCATCTTTTTTTGTCCCAAGAAAAATTATATTGGCAAGATATACTTTTTTTTTTTTTCCAAGGTGCTGCTTTCTATAGTCAAGGGGCTAGTTCCTGTGGCATGTGGGATCTCAGTTCCCCAAGCAGGGATCGAACCCAAGAGCCCTGCGGTAGAAGTGTGGAGTCTTAACCACTGAACTGTCAGGAAAGTCCCTAGGCTAGAATCTGATCAACTTCATAAAAGTTAGACTATTCTGCTTCTTCCTGATTTTGCATATTTTTTTAAAATGCAAAAGTGAAAGAACTCTAACACTTCCCCTTCTAAAAATTACTTTTAAGGGGTGGAAACTTGTCCATCTAAACCAATGAAAGAGGACCATAAAAATCACAACAGTTATGTGTATCTGAGTCTATTCACCCATTGGCAACTGTAACCATATTTGTTTTCTAGTCTTCGAGTCTGTTTCTGTTTTGTAAATAAATTCATTTGTACTTCAATTTAAAAAGAAAAAACACCTCACAATGTACTAAGAAGTCTCAATCTTATTCAGGGCTTTGAATGGTTTTGATGTTTATGTCACACTCTCAAGTTATTTTGTTTATCAGTTTGAACTGATAAACTATCACACCCTGCTCTTTACAAGGTCACTGGATTTTCACTAATTCAAACCTTTCATCTCATAGCAATTTTCCTTTTTTATCTCTTTATTTCATCTCCCTCCATCCCAAGAACTGTGCTCAGTAAAACATTCTTTTGACTTAACAGGAAAAACAGCCCTGCCCCTGCAGAACAAATGATCATATGGAAACATCCAAAAGATGTTACATATGGTGACAAGTTGTCAGTACTTTTCTGGCACAAAAGGCGTTTTTACTGGTTGATATTATTCCCCAAATGTTCATCAGTTATTTCATGTGCAAGAATTATTTTTCTCCTCATTTGGCAGAAATTTATTTAACGCCAAGGTCCATGATTTCAGTTTCTTTTCTAGCTTCCCAATGCTTAGTACAGTCTATTCTTCATACCAGGGACTCAGTAAAGGTCATGGAGTTAGTAAATGAGATACCTTGCAAGGAAACTTACCCTGAATGAACATTATAGAAATGAGCATACGAAGACTGTGAAACACCCATTTCTTCCACAAGAAGACATAACCACGCATAAGTTGAAGGCAAGCACTCACTGCCAAACTGCACCATGGAAACCATACTAAGTTTGATTCTATAAGTAATTAAGGATTCACAAACTTCAACTGCAATTTTGTTGCTGTTACAGGATATGATTTTGGAGGAAAATCTGTACTAAAATACTTTTCCAAGTTCCCTTGTCTAGAGAATGAGAATAATAATACCCAGCTGGAAGGTTGTTTTGAGTGTTAAATATGGCAAGCAAGAGCAGCTAATCCCAGAGGAAACTGGTACAAGAGGGTAATTGAGAAAACAACCAAGAAAATACATGCAATTTACAAAGGAGAGGTAAACTGAAGAGGAGTAACTTATATACATCAACTGGCCAGAGTCCTGCCTTCCAAAAATCAAAACAGGAGCTGTGGAATACCCTAGAAAGCAAGAACAGGTGGGGAGCATATTATGCACATAAGCAGTATCATATGACTAAATGGTACTGCAGTAGGTAATGTTCAGGGCTTCCTCAATCTTCAAAGGCAGATTATTGATAAATTTAATGTCAAACAAAAGCAGAAAGGCTGAACTATAGTTGAGAGCTCAGAAGATTTTTTTGTTTTTCTTTTTAATTTCTGAGAATTTACTATAAGTCTGGCCCTGAGTACTTCACATAAATGATCTCATTTAATCCTCCTAATTCTTTAAAGTAGATATCATATTCCCATTTAATATGTAGAAACTGGGGCCTGGCAAAGTTAAGCTACTTGTCCGATGATTTAACACTAAAAATGGCCATGGGCCCGGGACTTGAACTCTGGTATGACTCTAAATTATACTATTTGTCAACCTTACACATGCACACAGCACACATGAATGGGACCTCTGGTACGGTATCACTGACAAATCTCTTATCTCCACTTTTATGTATTAACCAGCTATATGGTACCAAGCACTAGAAACCATCATGGAATACCTGGTGGCCACAAACTCCTCCAAATTGGAATGAGGAAGAGTGGGGTTCCTTCCTCCCTACATCCTTTGATTCATTTATTGAATAACTATGGGTTAGATAGCATCACCAACTCAATGGACATGAATCTGAGCAAACTCTGGGAGATAGTGAAGCCCGGCATACTGCAGTCCAAGGGGTCACAGAGAGTCAGGCCCAACTTAGTGACTGAACAACACCGACCACAGAGCCTATGAGGCTCAAAGGATGCACAGAATAAGCATCCTCCATTTTCTAAAGTAGCTTTGGGATTTATGGCAAAGAAGAAATACATTTTTACACAAAAATGTTCACGAAGAGTCCTGTGTCTTCAATAACGGGCATAGTCCAGAAACAGATAATTGTTAATACTTAAGTATGGCTAATCTGTGTAATTCAATGCTCTCCAGAGTGAGAGCCCAATTGACACTCACCAGTGACAGGAATCTTCCTTAGAGATAAAGGAAGTTGGGTTTTGAGTAATAAATCATCCCTCAAATTTCCAAGGACAATTTCAGTTTTATAAAGCCTGCCACAAGCCTGGACCTCTACCATATACCTTTTCAATCAAATTGCCAGAAACCTCTATGACACCTTTAGAATTAAACAGCCAGTGTGGGTAATATTTTGGAGTTCTAACCAGGGATGGTTTTTGGAGTTCTAACCAGGGATGGTTAAATAAGAGGCAGACGCACCAAGCCATTAATCATAACATTTACCACGCAACAACCAGTCAAAATGAGAACAATTCAGAGCATTTTCCTTCCAAATAACTCAAAACAAGGCTGCCAGGATGTGCTGTCCCTTACAGGGATGTCCATCAGAGACCGCTGTCACTGTGCTCCCCTCGGCAACCCCAGCCGATGAAATCACAGTGCCGTCTGGGGTTGGAAAAGAGTGAGGTGGAGGTGTGGGTGGGACAATGAAGTCCCTAATATAAGGCCAGCATGAAGTAGATCGGTGAACTTGTGAACTTTCCAGCATCCAAGGTATAGAAAGGAGCTTGTAAGAATGGCAGACCAACCAAAGGGAACGTCTGCTCTGGCCAAAAGGAGTGAAAAGGGGACAAAGTCTGGCAAGAGAAAACCAAATAATAAATGAGCACAATGCCAGAGTCCCTAGCCCAGGCCTTTTATTTCACCTCCAGATGGTTCAGCAGCTGAACAGCTACAAGGAATGTCTGGATGGCCCTCTTGGCTCAGCAGCTTTCCCTGAGTATCATAATAGATGCTTTTGGATCTGTGTTCAGACATAGCTGTTGGGGGTCCACAGCCCAGGCAGTGACCACTAAGTGACTAATTTAGTTATTTTATAACAAAAGTGATGAACATGGACCAGCTCTGCTTTGGCTAAGCTTTTCATTCATGCCTTTTGCTTTCACTGTTTGGCATGTCAGAGCCTCATAATACCAATGGTCAAACTAGAATGTTTCTTTTTCTTCACTCTTTTCTGCAAACACTTTAATTTGTTGCAAAGATTTCCATTTTGGACCAATTTCAGCATAAAATGACACAGTGACAAGAATAAATTTAAGTTTATCAAGAAGCTTAACAGAAAAAGCAATGCATCCCCATCCCCCATTTATGTGTTGATGTAGAATATTTCTGCCCAAAACTGCTGCTCATCAAACCGATTACTGTCAGAGAGTCTCTCTCAGCTCCGATAGCACCTCACTTCTAGCTGGATACTAAAAGCACAAGAGTATCAGCAAGAATAAAATCAGAATGTAAAAATATAACACAAAAACTTAAATGTCACCACACAGTGGGAAAAATCACATTAAATTTGAAAGAAAATAACAAACTTTGCTAACTACAATTTAAAAAAATTTAAGGGTATCCCACTAGCATTTATTCTAAAACATAACAGCCTTAGTATTTTACTTTCCTGAAATGATATAACAAACCCAAGTTTTTGTTAAACCTAATAGCTAGGTGGATTACCCGATCAAGTCTTAACTCAGGATGGCTGGAGTTAACTCATTAGCCTGGCACAGGGTAGCTTCAATAACCTGTAATCAGCTACTAAGTAAAATTTCAGAAGTACAAAACAGAGGGTCATGTTTGTTACTCTCCTAAAAGAGATAGCTTGTAACAACTTTCACTTCTTGAGCCACTTTTACTTAAATTAATGTCTGCAGCTCTGACTATGTCTCCCTGGAGTATAGCGCTTGTCTTCTCATATCTATAAACAATATTTTCCTAGCTTTGTTTTTTAAGTGAGCTTTAGATCATAAATTGTTTGTAATTTTTCCATCTAAAAGCTCGAACAAATGGTAATTGCTGATATGAACTGCAATAAAAATGGGTCCTGATTTCAAATAAAGTTGCTCACTAGCATATTCCCATCTTTCAAATTTATATTTTATTTGTGAATAGGACAAAAATATCTTCTTGCAAGCTTCAGTAAATCTCTCCACAAGTCCCTGCCCAACAGATGTAAGTTCAATAGCCAGAATTCAAACCACATAATTTATTGGCTTACAAATGAACTGACATCTATAAAAATAAACCTCCTGAAAAGGCTGCGGGCTGTTTGAATCGTTCTAAAATGCTCTGACTAAATGTGCCAACCCTTTATCAATATAAGACTGATAAAATGTATTTTCACTATCAACATAAAACAGAAGCATCAAGATCGGTGAAATGTTAGTTTAAAAAGTCATTTGCAGTGACATTTAAAACAATTTATTTGAACAACATTTGACGTATGATAAAAATGTTGGCCTATTAAGATTGTCTGCTCAAAATTCATTGGAGCCCTATTCTCCACCTCTGTGACAGTTAACATCTTTTGATATTAAGGCTCATCACATATCTAAAATGAAAAAAGAACAAGAAAAAAGACACCCATGGCATTCTGAGCATGTGCCTATAAAAATGACTGATCCTGACATTTGACTGCAAAGATCAAGCCTGTGATGGCTTCCTTTCCATTGCCCCCTATAAAGCCTCTTCCTGCCTTGGCAATACCTTTGCTGATGTCCAACCCATTTGGAACATCCGTAACTCCTACCCTTTATCTACACTGCAATTCAGAATGCTTTCCTCTAAGGAATCACCAGAAACCAGCTGAAAATAAACAAATCTGCCAAGAAACTCCCCAGCAGTTCACTTCACCTCTCTGAGGACACTGACAATAGCTAGGAGACCACAATAAACTGTTTTGTCAGCCAGCCTGTCATGTCACTGTTACAAACAGTCTGGGAATTTTCACAGCCCTCTTCAACTCCAGAGAAAAACCTGACGATATTTCAGGTCAATTACCAACACGCTAACCACCAAAGAAGACTAAACACCAAAATTAAACTGACACTGAAACAAACAAACATGTCCTTGCAGACTGTCAAGCCTCAGGAAACAAGTAAACATATAAATTTATGTTAATATATTTTAGGGGTCTGGATTGAGAACCCTCGCTGGTCTCAGAAGCTTAGCCTGAGTACCTCTGTGCACTTTAGTGGGATTCTAATCCTAAAAAAGCTATCACCTCAGTCACGACAGACAATGACGGTGATTCATTTTGATTTCACAAATCCAGGAGTTAATTTCTATGACAAGCTTATGTCAGGAGTTCCTCAACACCAGGAAGGGATCTGGCCCAGTCAAGTAAAGAAAGCAGAAGATCCCATAATAGCTAAGCTGTCTAGAAACAAGGTAACATGGTAGCACAATCTTTCCAGCTCCCATTTCATTTACACTTAAGCCTGGGTTTGTCAGCGTTGAGGCTGGGAAATCGCCCCTTTCTATCTCTATCTCTTTCAACTACACAGAAAGAGCTTTCAGCAGTCAACTGTCTCCATCAGCCTTGTCCTTTTGTCAGGGACCGGTTTGATAGCTGCAGAAGCCCACCCTCTGGAACCCTGGAAGCTTCTCCGGCTACACACCACACTTCATTCCGTGGGTCTGGCGGTCAAGGGTTTCAGGCAATAAACCGAGCGTCATTTTGTTCTTCCCGTTTTCTCAGTAGTCGCACGGGGCAAGTCTTTCTCTATGCACTGATCACTCACATCTTCTAAAATTCCCACTGTACTAAACAGCTCTCCGCGACTCAGTCCACATTAACACCTCGGGGCCCCCAGGTAGGTTTCCCGTGAATTTCTCAGTCACAGTGCTGCCTGGCTACAAAACAACCACCCTTTCTGCTCCCTCCAGGATTCAAGTCCGGTCCTGGACCTGCACACAGTAGCCGCTTTCAGCCGGCAGTGCGGGCGGGGACCCTGCGGGGTGCGGAGGTGCCCAGCCCCGGCTGAGCTGCGGTGCCGGCGGAGGGCGAGGTGTGCCTCCCAACTCGAGATGGAGATGCGCCCCCGACCCGCCTGCCTATCGCTACCCCCGGACACCTCGGGCACCCCATTGTGTCTCGAAGCAGCAGCTCCCTCGGCCCCCGCCGTCCTCGCTTACCTTCTGTCGGCCTCTCCGTTGCGCCCGCACAGCCGGCCGCTGCCTCCAGTGCTCTGCAAAGCGGGGAGGGACGCTTTGTTAGGGCTCCAGAAGCCGGACAATACTTCGCAGCCGGCTCCGGGGTTCTGGGCGGGCGTCCTTCAAAAGGACGCGAATGGGGACCAGCGCGAGCGTCATTTCCATATGTAAGGGGCCAGCACTCACAAAAGCGCTGCTCCCGGGGACTGCGGCGCGCATCCTCCCCGCCCGCCGACCCGCCCCCGCCTCGGCGGCGGCGGCAGCAGCTGGACGGCCGCACCCAGCGCGCTCGGCTCCCGGCTCCGCCGCGGCCACCCGAAGCCTTGGACGGCGGGGAGGAAGGGCCAGGCCCGCGCGGGGAGGAGGAGCCAGGGCGACGCCTGCCCGGGCGCGACTCCTCCTCCGCGGCCCGCGCAGCTGGGGCCGCTGAGGGAGGAGCGCTGGGCGCCGCCCGGGCCCTCTCGGAGTCAGTCCGCCACCCGCCCTCCACGGGGACTGCTCCTCGTGTGGCCGAAGCCCGGAGGTGCTCGGTCCCGACCGCTGGGGCGGACGCCGCGGAGATCTGAACTCGGAAAGTCCGGGGCTTGCTGGGACGCGGGTGGGGGAGGTCAGCGACCTGAAGTCGACCCTCTGCCCCTTCCTTCCTTCCAGAAACTCGTGCACACACCCCTCCGTGCCGAGGACACCCGGCCAGCAAAGTCTCCGGGTCGGGGAAGGGGCCCGCTTCCAGCCCGTGGGACCGTAAGATGGGGATTCAGGTTCCTCTTGTGCCCCAAGCGGCCTTGAATTTCTCGGCCCTCGAGCGCCCATTGGCGGTCATTGGAAGAGGGTCCCGGGAGGCTGAAGAGCTCCAGGCTTGACCCTGAACCCTAGCCAGTGAGCGCGACCCTCCTACCAGTCTAGACTGGCTTCCGCACCTGCCCACCATGTCCTCCTGTGGCTACATCCAACCCTGTGTCACTAGCCACACCCGAGGGAAAATCCCTGGAGTCGGAAATTCTCAGGCCTGTGATTGCTCGGTATTTACCGCCTCCTCCCTCCTACCCTTACTCCAGGGGCTCCCCCAGAGTCTCTGCTTCTCACTTTCCCCATCTCTACGCTTCTGATCTGGAGGCAAACCCGACTCCGGTCCGGGCCTAGAGACGTTGGCTGTGGGCCGGAGGTGACACCATTTTTCTCTCTGGGTTGCAGAGTTAAATGCGTTGCTCCTGAAGAAGGAGCCTCCTGATTTAGCCTGGTTGGACTTAACCTGGTGGCTCAGACGGTAAAGCTTCTGCCTACAATGTGAGAGACTCGGGTTCAATCCCTGGGTCGGGAAGACCCTCTGGAGAAGGAAATAGCAACCCACTCCAGTACTCTTGCCTGGAAAATCCCGTGGACGGAGGAGCCTGGTAGTCTACAACCCATGGGGTCGCAAAGAGTCTGACACGATTGAGCGGCTAAACTAAACTTTCACCAGCCTGGTTATTTCAGCTGGAAACTGGAGAATGTTCCCTTGCTACTGAAAGAAGAAGGGGCAGACGGGAAGAAACTAGCATTTTCTGAGAATCCAGTGTGCTGGAAACTTGACAAATGATTTTACCTAATCCTCACAGCACCTTTAGGAGCCAAACATTATTCCATCCATTTGCAAATGAGGAAACCAGGCCTCAGAGAAGTTAAGGAGCTTGCTCAAGACCACACAGCTAGTTGGCAGAGCTAGGATTCAAAAGCACGTTTGTGACAAAATTGCACAGAACTAAATATACACTCACAGGAACAGGTGAGCATAAAACTGGTGGCATTTGAATAAGGCCCTAGGATTGTTTTGATGTCATTTTCCAGGTTGTGATATTATATTACAATTATGCAAAATGTTATCATTAGGGAAAATTGGGGAAAAGGTCTATAAGGAACATCTCTATTATTTCTTACAATTTAATATAATTGACAGATAACTGAAAGTTTGGGGTTTGTTTGTTTTATGCAGATCAGCTTTATTTTAGAAACCAAATGCTATTCTCTCAACACATGCACATGGGAATAAGAAAAAGGAGAGGTTCATGCTCCTCTCTCCCCACTCTTTAACAGTCTTGGGCAAACATGCACACACACACACACACACACACTCATGTACTTTATGCACGGTTGTTCAGTAATAATTACACAACATACATACACACTGTTATGGGAAGAGCTAACCTGTTATCAGAATCCTTACATAAATGTCATGTTATAAATAAGAGAATATGTTCACTGGGGACTAAAACAGCCAATAGTCCTAGAAGGTAAGAATGAAGAGTGTTTTGGTTTTTTTCCAGAATGAAATAATGCCATTTGCAGCAACATGAATGGACCTAGGGATTATCATACTAAGTGAAGTGAGTCAGAAAGAGAAGGACAAATATCATATAATATCATTTATATGTGGAATCTAAAATAAGACACAAATGAACATATCCATGAAACAGAAACAACCTCACAGGCATAGAGAACAGACTAGTGATTGCCAAGGGGGAGGTGGATGGTCGAGAGAAGGATTGGGAGTTTGGGATTAACAGATGCAAACTAGTATATACAGGATGGATACACAACAAGGTCCTAAGTATAGCGCATGGAACTATATTACATATCCTGTGATAAACCATAAAGAATATGAAAAAGAATATATGTACATGTGTAACATATATATGTGTGTGTATGTATAACTGAAACTCTTTGCTCTACAGCAGAAATTAACACATTATAAATCAACTATGTGATAAAATAAGATTTTAAAAAGATTTTTTTTTTCTTGTTTCATCTAGTTTCTGCCATGAGAGTCTCACCATACAAGTTCTCTCCCCAGGCTTCACTTTTTTTTTTTTTTCCCCAGGCACCACTTTTTAACTTGCAAGAATCCTTAAGGATGAGACTGTCATTCATTTCCAGCAGTGATTCTTGGGGTTGAGGAGATGTTCCCTATGGAGAAAACTCAGAATTGGCGGGGATTGTGTCATTTCAAAACCACAAGATACTCTTTCACGAGGGGAGTAAATTGAGTGGAGTTAATGCTGAAAATTACACACAATTTCCAGTTTCGCTATAAAGGAGGGGAAAGTGTGCAGCATGGCTACTTGATGGTGTAGCTTTGCAATTACAATCCTGCCAGTGAGGATCACTTAATGTAGATCATTAATGTAGATCGTTTAACGAAGATCACAATGTACCTGCAATTTAGGTTGCACAGGGCGAAAGGTTAGTCTTGGTCCAGACTGAGTCACTGGAAGAAAGCAGGAAATTACCTTAGAAGCTATCACTTGAGTTTTTCTCTGTTAAACAAAAAATAAAGATAAGAGCAGAAATAGTGGCCAAACATCAACTCTACATTATTTGCAATGTAAGAAAAAAATGAAAAGAAATATAAATATCTATCCAAAGTTAATACCCTTCACATTCCTTATCTCTTGCAGTTTATCTGCCACTGATATCAGCTCTCACTTTAAGAAGAGCCTTGTTCAGGGACCTAGTGTCCTTAAAGTTTTTGTAGTCAACACTTCCCAATGGCTTTCTGCTACATTTTCCAGTCCTGGATTGGCTTTCTTAGATTGTTAAAAAACTGTAAAAAGTTAACTAAAAAATAGTCCAGGGAAAAGAAAGTTATTCTTTGTGTCTTCCTGCAGTAACTCTGTAATGATTAATTTAGAGTCAAGATAACAGAAGTTAATTAAAAGAGGGAGTGGGGGTGGGAGAGTCAAACTTAGTAAATGTCCTGGAATCTGCAGAGTTATCTTTTTCTGATTAAGGAAAGGCTACAGCTCTAACCAAACTGTGTACTCTCCCTCAAAGTCATAGTTGGCTTTATGTTACTTCATAATCGCAGAATAGTAAAAACAAACAAAAAACCTAAACTAAAACTCTCCTGTCACTGTGTGGTAACTCCCAGCTCCTTCTACACTTAGTGTCTTTCTTATTTCTCTGATGGTTTGAACCAATCAGGACAGTGTTTGTGTAAGCCTTAGAGCTGCATCAGGGAGATCCAAGTACATAAAGCAGCTTATCAGTAATAATCCAACACAGGGACTGTCTGGGTGAAAAGGACATCACCCTCTCCCCAAAGGCCTAAGGACATGGGTGGTGAAAGGAGGGGGAAAATCTGGGTTCCAGACTCACAAGTCAAAGACCACGAGTTTGCATGACAAAATATTGATGGTAAGAACCCAAGAATATGCCCTCAAGAAACAAGAGATACACAGAAGAGGGGTGGGAAAGAGACAGAAAGCAAACAGATTTACATTTCCTAATTTGTACATTAGGAATTAGGATGCTCTGTTTATCTTCCCTCATTCAGCAAAAATAACTTATTTTTAATTGGAGGACAATTGCTTTGCAATGTTGTGTTGTTGTGTTTCTGCCATACAACAGTGTGAATCAGCCAGAAGTATATACATAACCCCTCTCTCTTGAGCCTTCCTGCCACCCCACCCTACCCGGCCCACCCTTCTAAGTTGTCACAGAGCTGTTGAGCTTCCTATGTTACACAGCAACTTCCTATTACTTATATATTTTTACATATGGTAATGTATATGTTTCAATGTTACTCTCTCAATTCATCCCACGCTCTCCTTTCCCCACTGTGTCCACAAATCTGTTCTCTATGTCTGTGTTTCCATTGCTGCCCTGCAAACAAATTCATTAGTACCATTTTTCTAGATTCCATATATATGCGTGAATATACGACATTTGTTTTTGTTTACTTACTTCAGTGCCCAACAGGCTCTAGGTTCAGCCACCTCAGTTTAAATGACTCAAATTTCTTCCTTTTTGTGGCTGAGTAATATTCCATTGTATGTATATATGTATCACAACTTCTTGATCCATTCATTTGTCAGTGGACATCTAGGTTGCTTCCATGTCCTGGCTATTGTAAAGATTATTTTTTAAAAGTAAGCATTAAGCACCTATTCCATGTCCACTACTCTCCCGGGAGTCAAGAGGTGTTCAGAAGAAACCTCAGCCTTGGTCCTTACCCTTGAGGAATGTGTTACTGTGCCTGGGGGAGGCCAAACTATGCACATAGGAGAGAGTGGTGCTGGATTCTAGTCAGGTCCTAGAGTTGGGGACACACACGTATATAGCATGACAGAG